GATCAAGACCAAACTTCGCACACAGAGCCACCATGACCCACTCTACATCCTGGTGTGGTTTGTGGGACGATGTACCATGGGTGATGGGACTTGAAGTACCTTCACTCACTTCCCGAAACCACAACTATGTCAAGAAGTGCAAGCACAACTCTGCAAAAGTTATGGGATGTCAGAAGGAGGGCGTGATGTTATTCCAAAGGGGCTTTCCCTTGTCTGGAGTGTATGTGTTTTCCTCCCCTTTTTTCCATTTCAGTCTCCGAAACAATGACCCTCGGCTTCCTCCGGTGCCGCTTCCTGCGCCAAGGCCGTCCTGGCTCCTTCCCAAACCCAAGGAAAGGAGAACAAGGCATCCAGGATGCCGAGCCGCTCTGTGGCCAAACGGGGTTTGGAGGGCTTTCGGGCCGGGGTGGCCCCACCTCGGCGTGGGCCACAATGGGACGATTCTCCGGCCAGCTTCTCCGGCACAATGGGCCGCTCAGTGACGCGGCCTCCCGGGGAAATGCTTGAGTCGCCTACAGGTCACGGGGCCGAGTCGCAGCAGCAGGGATGGAAAGTGCATTCGGCTTCGGGGCGGCCCTTGGAGACGCCAGACACTGGAGGAGGGCTTCTTAAACTTTTCCCACTCATGATCCCTATTTCGCCCCAGACATTTTTATGTAACCTCAATGTACAGGCAGTGTCCCCGAGTTACAAACATAAGACTTACAAATGGCTCCTACTTAAGAACAGGGTTGAAATAATAGGAAGTGGGAGGGATCTTATCTATTATATAATAATAATAATATAATAATAATAATAATAATATAATAATAATCCTTTATTTATACCCCGCTAGCATCTCCCGAAGGACACGGTGCGGCTTACAAGAGGCTGAGGCCCAACACATCAATAAAACAACAGCATAACAAATGTTGTTCATTCGTTCAGTCATCTCCGACTCTTCGTGACCTCATGGACCAACCCACGCCAGAGCTCCCTGTCGGCCGTCACCACCCCCAGCTCCTTCAAGGTCAGTCCAGTCACTTCAAGATGCCATCCATCCATCTTGCCCTTGGTCGGCCCCTCTTCCTTTTGCCTTCCACTTTCCCCAGCATAATTGTCTTCTCTAGGCTTCCCTGTCTCCTCATGATGTGGCCAAAGTACTTCAACTTTGTCTCTAGTATCCTTCCCTCCAATGAGCAGTCGGGCTTTATTTCCTGGAGGATGGACTGGTTGGATCTTCTCGCCATCCAAGGCACTCTCAGAACTTTCCTCCAACACCACAGCTCAAAAGCATCCATCCATCTTCTCGCAGTCCAAGGCACTCTCAGCACTTTCCTCCAACACCACAGCTCAAAAGCATCTCTTCCTTCGCTCAGCCTTCCCTAAGGTCCAGCTCTCACATCCGTAGGTGACTACAGGGAAGACCATGGCTTTGACTAGGCAATGGATCTTGGTTGCCAGTCTGATGTCTCTACTCTTCACTATTTTATTGAGACTGGACATTGCTCTCCTCCCAAGAAGGAAGCGTCTCCTGATTTCCTGGCCACAGTCTGCATCTGCAGTCATCTTTGCGCCTAAGAATACAAATTCTGTCACGGCCTCCACGATTTCTCCCTCTATTTCCCAGTTGTCAATCATTCTTGTTGCCATAATCTTGGTTTTTTTGATGTTTAGCTGCAACCCGGCTTTTGCGCTTTCTTCTTTCACCTTGGTGAGAAGGCTCCTCAGCTCCTCGCTTTCGGCCATCAGAGTGGTGTCATCTGCATATCTGAGGTTGTTAATGTTTCTTCCAGCAATTTTCACCCCAGCTTTGCATTCATCAAGCACATCGCATGATGTGTTCTGCATACAAGTTAAAAAGGTTGGGTGAGAGGATGCAGCCTTGCCGTACGCCTTTCCCAATCTTGAACCAGTCTGTTGTTCCGTGGTCAGTTCTGACTGTTGCTACTTGGTCCTTGTACAGATTCCTCAGGAGAGAGGGAAGGGGGCTTGGGATGCCCATCCCACCAAGAACTTGCCACAATTTATGATGATCCACACAGTCAAAGGCTTTAGAGTAGTCAATGAAGCAGAAGTAGATGTTTTTCTGAAACTCCCTGCCTTTCTCCATTATCCAGCGGATATTGGCAATCTGGTCTCTCGTTCCTCTGCCTTTTCTAAACCCAGCTTGAACATCTGGCAACTCTCGCTCCATGTCTTGCTGGAGTCTTCCTTGCAGGATCTTGAGCATTACCTTACTGACAGGAGAAATAAGGGCCACTGTACAGAAGTTGGAGCAGTCTTTCGCATAACAAATACAACAATAAATAAATTCATAAACAAAGCAATAAACATTAAAACAATAGCAATAAACATTAGACAATAACACCACGACGCATTTAAAACTAATTACTATATACTAGCTGTCCCCTGCCACGCATTGCTGTTGCACAGTCTGTGTATATGTGCATTGTGTGTGTATATATTTGTGTATATGTGTGTATATATGTATGTTTGCGCGATATATATATATATATGTGGTTTTGCGCATGCATTGGTGTCTTGTGTCCAAATTTAGTGTCAATTCGTCCAGTGGTTTTTGAATTATGCTAATCCCACAAATGAACATTACATTTTTATTTATATAGATTATTAACATCCTGACACGACAAAAAAAAATTATTATATTATATTACATTAGCTATCCCCTGCCACGCTTTGCTGTGGCCAGTCTGTGTATATGTGCTTTGTGTGTGTATATATTTGTGTATAAGTGTGTATATAGGTGTGTTTGCGTGTGTGTGTGTTTTATATATATATATATATATATATATATATATATATATATGGTTTTGCGCATGCGTTGTAATGTATTTTTTTGTAAAAAAAATGGCTTTTAAGTCTCTTCTGCTGTGTTTTTTAGTGTTTTTATGACCACTCATTGGCTTGGTAGGTGTCTTGTGTCCAAATTTGGCGTCAATTCGTCCAGTGGTTTTTGAGTTATGTTAATCCCACAAACGAACATTACATTTTTATTTATATAGATTACTAGCCGTCCCCTGCCACGAGTTGCTATGGCCCACATGGGGGTTCTGTGTGGGAGGTTTGGCCCAATTCTATCGTTGGTGGGCTTCAGAATGCTCTGTGATTGTAGGTGAACTATAAATCCCTGCAACTACAACTCCCAAATGTCAAGGTCTATTTTCCTCATACTCCACCAGTGTTCACATTTGGGCATATTGAGTATTTGTGTAGAGTTTGGTCCAGATCCATCATTGTTTGAGTCCACAGTGATCTCTGGATGTAGGTGAACTACAACTCCCCAAACTCAAGGTCAATGCCTACCAAACCCTTCCAGTATTTTCTGTTGGTCTTGGGAGTTCTGTGTGCCAAGTTTGGTTCAATTCCATCGTTGGTGAGGTTCAGAGTGCTCTTTGATTGTAGGTGAACTATAAATCCCAGCAACTACAACTCCCAAATGACAAAATCAATTTTTTTGAGTGAAGGACATACATTGGGTTGTTAGGTGTCTTGTGTCCAAATTTGGTGTCAATTCGTCCAGTGGTTTTTGAGTTCTGTTAATCCCACAAACAAAGATTACATTTTATTTATATAGATTACATGTAATATTACTAATAATATTGCAGTATTGTGGTATAATACAATATAGTTATATATAATACTAATATTGTGCTATGCTAATAAGTATGCCAAGTTTGGTGCAAGATCCATTGTGGGCTGGGTTCAGAGTGCTCTTTGATTATAGGTGAACTATAAATCCCAACAACTACAAATCCCAAATGTCAAGGTCTGTTTTCCTCATATTTCACCAGTGTTTAAACTTGGGCATATTGAGTATTTGTGCCAAGCTTGGTCCAGATCCATCATTGTTTGAGTACAGAGTGCTGTCTGGATGTAGGTGAACTACAACTTCCAAATTCAAGGTCAATGAGCACCAAACCCTTCCAATATTTTCTGTTGGTCTTGGGAGTTCTGTGTGCCAAGTTTGCTTCAATTCCGTCATTGGTGGAGTTCAGAGTGTTCTTTGATGGTGGGTGAACTATAAATCCCAACAACTACAACTCCCAAATGTCAAGGTTTATTTTCCTCATACTCCACCAGTGTTTACACTTGGGAATATTGAGTATTTGTGCCAAGCTTGGTCCAGATCCATCACTGTTGAATCCACAGTGCTCTCTGGATGTGGGTGAACTATAGCTTCCAAAACTCAAGGTCAATGCCCACCAAACCCTTCCAGCATTTTCTGTTGGTCTTGGGAGTTCTGTGTGCCAAGTTTGCTTCAATTCTATCATCGGTGAAGTTCAGAATGCTCTTTGATTGTAGGTGAACTATAAATCCCAGCAACTACAACTCCCAAATGTCAAAGTTTATTTTCCTCATATTCCACCAGTGTTTACACTTGGGCATATTGAGTATTTGCACCAAGCTTGGTCCAGATCCATCATTGGTGGAGTTCAGAGTGCTCTTTGATTGTAGGTGAACTATAAATCCCAACAACTACAACTCCCAAATGTCAAAGTTTATTTTCCTCATATTTCACCAGTGTTTACACTTGGGAATGTTGAGTATTTGTGCCAAGCTTGGTCCGGATCCCTCATTGTTTGAGTTGTAGGTGAACTACAACTTCCAAATTCAAGGTCAATGAGCACCAAACCCTTCCAGTATTTTCTGTTGGGAGTTCTGTGTGGGAAGTTTGGCCCAATTCCATCGTTGGTGGAGTTCAGAGTACTCTCTGATTGTAGGTGAACTATAAATCCCAGCAACTACAACTCCCAATATATGTACGCAATGCTCAGAAGCTGCCACTAGAGGGCAATGTATAGATAGTACATATAACCTTTAATTTGTTGTCGAAGGCTTTCATGGCCGGAATCACTGGGTTGCTGTAGGTTTTTTTTGGCTATATGGCCATGTTCTAGTGGCATTTTCTCCTGACGTTTCGCCTGCATCTATGGCAAGCATCCTCAGAGGCAGTGAGGTCCTTTAATTGCCTTCACTTTATGTTTCCCTGCTTGCAGTCTTGCTGGCGGAATATGTAGAAGATGGGGACGTCAGTGGGAAGACTCTGAAGATCACGGACTTCGGCCTGGCCCGAGAGTGGCACAAGACCACCAAAATGAGCACGGCCGGCACCTACGCCTGGATGGCTCCCGAAGTCATCAAAAGTTCCACTTTTTCGCGGGGCAGCGACGTCTGGAGGTGAGAGAGCGAGGCCACCCCTTTTTCAAAGCATGAGTCTCTTGAAGGGAAATAATATCTATTCACTGCGCCTTGCTTTGCTCTTACGGCTTCGACCGCAAGAAGGTGGGGGTCCGGCCTTCATTGTCGTCCCCTGTCTCCTTTCCTTAACAGTTACGGGGTCCTCCTTTGGGAACTCCTGACCGGCGAAGTCCCGTATCGGGGCATCGATGGCCTTGCGGTCGCCTACGGTGTTGCCGTCAACAAGCTGACGCTCCCTATTCCGTCCACCTGCCCAGAGCCTTTCGCGCGCCTCATGGCAGGTAAGCAAGGAAAGCATAACAGGTGGAATTTTATGTATTTCCGCAAAGGCCGATTATATGTTTGAAAAGCCGCATTATTTATTTGTCGTGTCAGAACAACCAGTCTAACAGAACAAAGCAAACAAACAGAAAAATACACAACTTGTGAGTTTGGTAGCTGGTTAAATGTCCTTTGACCAGTATCTGGCCACTTGGAGTGCCTCTGGTGTTGCCGCAAGAAGGTCCTCCCTTGTGCATGTGGCAGGCAGGTGGTCAGTGGTTTGCTCTTCTCCACACTCGCATGTCGTGGATTCCACTTTGTGGC